ATTGACCGGTGTCTTTTTTACCACGCCACCCTAAAGCGTGAATAGTGTACTTTAGTTTAGTAACTACACATATAATTAAATTAAAAATTTGTATTATGCTGAACTAATTTAATTCATTATTAAATCTGTTGTGTATTTTCTTTTACAGGATGATGGACTTCATCCGAATTGGAATTTTCAGTCTCTGGTAAGACATTTTGATTAAGTTTCTAAAAGAAAACCTTGATAATATTAGTGCACAATAAATTTTTCAATTGCAAGCTGAATACATTGATTTGACCAGTACAATTATTCCCATGCTGGACTAGTAACGTTCGTGATGATTAATTAGTATTTCAAATTTTTTAATTAATAATGATTCGAAACTAAGACGGTTTCCGATTATTTATGAAAAAGTAAAGTTAAAAAGTTAATATTTAGAATTGTCGAAAAATGCCGTTAGGTTTCCTATGATAATTCGTTACTTAAAAGGGAGAAAGATAAGTCTTCATATTAAGGTTAAGTGTTAATTGGTACTTTCTAAAAACAAGATTATTTAAATTTATAAGTTCCTCAGACGTCTTTTCTACTCATTGTTGTCAATTAAAATGGCTTAACTAGCGATTGGTATAAAATTTATTGCCATTCCACCGTAAATGAAATTTCGTCCGAACTACCTTAATGGTCAATTGAATTGACAGCCAATCTCTCCTGCGAGAACAGAAATGCATCAAAGGAAGTAGTGCATTACAACAAACCGCTGTAAAGTGCGTTTCTACCATGCACAAACGAACCTAGATCATTAGCTACCACAAAATGGTTCAAGCCCGTCATTGCCTGAACCCCATACACAAATTTGTAAAACCCTTTGCTACCGAATTTCTATTGTGGCGATTTGATAGTTTTTAAGAAAATAATTAATTTTTCAGAGTAAGGTATTGAGTGTGTGGTTGTATATATTTTTTGGTATGTCTGTGATGCATGTATTTGTGTGTTTGGAATTTCTGTATTATTGTATTATTATTGTNAAACTTTATTATTACTTGTATTTGTGTGTTTGGAATTTCTGTATTGTGTAAATATTCTTTTCTTATAATCCTATTTCTAGACTTACTCTATTCTATACCTGATCTATACATATTCTTCAGCTAAACGACTATTTAATTGCCACGTACTTTCCTATCATCCCTTTTAACAATTCAACTCTGTATACTAACTGCATGACGTCTATAATCCTTACTTTTCCTAATTGCAGTTTTATGGTTAGTTTGTTCGGTGATTTGGGTTCAAACTTAACTTCTCAGTATTTCTTCTAAACTAAATTTCCAGATTTTACTAGTATCTTATTGGTTCCCTACTTTAATTAACTTATTTCTAACTCTTCCTTATCACCCTTCTTACAATCTCTTTTCAAAAACTAAAATAAGTTCTGACTTATCCTTCCTAATTTCAACTTCACAGTTCTACCGTGTTAATTCTCGTCTTCATTTTTCGTTCTTATTTTATTAAAGTTTGTTATCGTTTCTCCGCATTCTATTTTTTAACCACATCAACATCAGAACACACAACGAGACCAAACTATGTACAGTCAAATTATACACATACACCATTTCTGAACTTTGCGTTTCTATAAGATGACATCTAATGCTCAAAATAAGTCAAAAAAAAAAACACAACAAGGAGGATTTTCTCATAAATTTCCACCAATTTTCGGTGACTAGTCTTCCGAAGACTGACGTCGAATACAACGCTTAATAATGTCTCACTTAATGAAGACAACGAGACAATCGTCTGCAGGATCACAATTAAAGTGCCATATTCTCCCGTCTTTTAAGCGTTCGCTTAACACTTCATAAACCTTACCAATTGTACTTGAAATGTCGACGACGCTTCATTATTATAAATAAAGTGTTGGTATTGATATGATGTAGTCAGCATTTCAATATATAACAGTCACATGACGTACTTTGTTCTGATTGAAAATAATAAATACAATTGAACTTCTGCAACTTGAAGCACTTCTAACTCGACATTTGTGCATATTGTTTTCTATTTATTCCAAAGTCTTCAACTCGAATTTCACGATTTCTTTAACCCCAAAAGATCAAAAGGATTAGATATTTCACAATATGATGAATAGTTCTAATGAAATGAAATGTCAACTTTGGATAGAAAAGTTTTGTGAAGCAGCTGCTGTAGAAAACCAACAAACTAAAAAAAAACAGATAATGGTGACACTGATTTCATGAGAAATGAAGTGACAGAACGGCATTCTGAATGTATACCATTACGTAGGTTCTTATATATAGTGAACTAAATGTGAGAAGGGATAGAAATACATTTCTAAAATCAGCCTACACATTTTTTACAAATGCCTTAATTGCGTAGGTTCTAATTCAATGCATTTTTTATTTTATTTTAGAAATGAAAAATTCATTGGTTAAAACATGCTTTACTTGATATTTTACGTTTGTATCTTTTTATCGAAATTTTTACATCCTTAGTTTGTAATAGGGTTGGATGTAAGTGTAATGTAACATCTTCGAATTGGTAAAAAGTTGTATGTATTAAAAGATAATTTGAGAAGTTTACTAAAAACGTCTTATCATAATATGGAGTAATTGTTTATATATTTGTTAATCTTTCCGTTAGCCGTGGAAAAAACACTCCCAAAATTATACTTTTCGGTTAAATGTTGCAGAAATACAACAAAAATTGCGTAAGATGCATGCTAAAGGCCGTCGATTTAACTATTTAAAGACAAGGGATTTGTAAAATTTTATATGATTTTATGAAGCGATATAGAAAATATGAGCGAATTAAAACGGCAAAAAAAGAGCTCTCGGGGTGTAAAATACCTATATGGAGATAGTTCTAGTCAGAACAGCAGTAGAAATTCGTGATTCTTAAGAGATATTGACTTTTGGGTTTGTAACCCGCCAAACATTCCATTTTCGGTAGAAAAATGGCTAGCAACCTAAAGTTCTATGCTCGAGTGTATAATACTCAGTCGTGGATACTTCTGGCCATAGCTGCAATTCATAGTTATTTGCGTTTTGTAGACTCATATCCCGTTTGGAGTCAAAAAAGGATCAACACCTCAGTTTCGGGTTAAAATAGATATACTTTCAGAGGTGCAACCATAACCTGAATTAATTCTGTGCTGAACTACTGCAAAATTCAACGATAATATCATTTGCAGCCCAAACTTGTAGGTCAATGATTAGTAACCTTATTTTTGAATTAACATCTAAACAATAGAGTTCTCGAGAAAATGCACGAAAATTTTTCGTTGCAGTTCTTAGGGATTGCCCAGACCTTTGCCCAAAATTTGGGTAAAGAAAATTTTCAAAATTTTTTAAAGAACTATGCAAAATCTATCAGAAACTCCATCACTCTTTATTTCTTAACTTTTTTAGATATCAGAACTCTTTCTACAACAAAAGGATGCAACATAAAGTTAGTCCAGGATATTTCTTTTTTTTTTATTTTTACTATTAAATGTATAGTACATATCTACAACCGCTAAAAAGCACATGAATTAAAAATTTATGACAGGGATGCTAGCTTCCTGGCGATCAGACCGTGTAGTAGATAATTTATGTATTAACAAAGAACAGAAGGTCAAATTTTCACTAACATATTTATTTACTAGAAATAAAACAATCTTGTCACCGACTTGGGAACAAATATGGACTACCATTCTCATGTTTTACCCTATAAAATAATACAATTAACGAACTTGTTAACCTAGGGAAAAACGGGTATACTAATTCTGTGAATAACCACCTATAGACAGCTAAATCACGTTTTCGTGCATTTAAACGTGAACGAACATCATGTAACAGTTTATGAAAAGGTCGAAGTGAAACTTTACGCCCTGATTATTTGGATCTTTTCGTGGATGAGCATTTATCGAACCCAAGAGACAGCCGAGCAATTTGGCTTTTGAAGTGACTCATTCAGGTGTTAAAGGTTCTCCCGTTCGTAGTCACTGTTGAAAAGGATATTTCCAGGTATCGTACTTCTAGAGTTAGAGGTTAAGCATAAAATAATCAAGTTTTCGCTTAGTTGGTTAAAAATCGAATTATTACTATTATTATTACATTCCTGGTCTCAGTTTTCACTGGTTAAGTTTGAGCAAGTGAAGACGGGCTAATGCCAAAGAACTTCACCTACATCTTTTGGGATACGATATGAAAACCAATTTTCTGTTATTAAATTTTATAGAGCTAACAGTACTTCTTGTTGTGAAATATGACCGATGATTATTAAAAACTCCGCTTCTAATCAAACTTGTGGTGTTATCTAAAAAGGGGGATATGTCAGTATATCTGACTACTATTCCGCATGTATCAAGGATTACTGATTTCTGTAGCCTCATGTACGTAAGTTTATGCCGTTTCAACTCGACTAAGCTAGCGTGTAATGTTTTAAGTATAACGCTTATTGATGATATTACTGTTGGAATAATTCGAACTTTGTTCTGATTCCACATTTCTTTTATTTCATCAGCCAAAGGAATATATTTTTGAATTTTTTCAACATATTTTTGTTTAAGATTTTCACTGTTTGGTACAACAACATTTATTAGGTGGGTTGTTTTAGTTTCTTTGATGGTCATTGTGATGTCAGGTCCGTTATAATTAACTGTTTTGTCTGTAATTATGCCTCTATCCTAATAAAGCTTGGTTAAGTAGTTATCTAATACATTTTGTAGTTTGTATTTACGGTACGACTCTATCTGATCTATGAGGTTAAACTTTTTGGCTAACAGCGTGTGTTAAGCAACATTATTATGTCTGTCGATGTATTGGCGGCTGGCTAAAAATGAGCAACCCCCAGTGATATTGTCAATTGTTTCGCGAGATGTGTTGCATGCTCGGCATGTATCAGCTGAAATTGTGGGATTTTTAATAATATATTTTCTGTTTTTATCCTGGACTTCTCAGTTTGCACTGGTAACATTGAGCAAGTGAAGACGGGCTAATGCCAAAGAACCTCACTCACATCGTTTGGGATATAGAAACCAATTTTGTGTTCTTAAAATTTAGGGAGCTAACGGTTCTTCTTGCCCTGAAATATGATCAGTGAGTATTAAAAACTGCGCTTCTTATTTAACCTGTTGTGTTTTCTGAAAAGGGGGATATGTCAGTACTGTTAAGAAATCTGCGCACTATTCCGCATGTATCAAGGATTACCGATTTCTGTA